CACAACTTAGACAAACGACAAAGTGTCAAATCGGTGATTTAGTTGCGGCTGCTGAACCGAATTAAATAATCGCCAGCCATCTCTCCATAAATTGCCTTTACCTTCGAAATCAGTCTCTACAAAATGTTTCACGTCGGAGTTAAACTTGCCTCGGGAAAGTAGGCTAATTAATTTTTAATCATTTCTCCATCTTCAACACACACAAAAAAACTAGGAGGAAGGGATCAGTTATCCTCCTTAACAGCTTAATAATTTATTTACTGCAAAGTGACACTTTGCACTTATATGCTAATTAATTGTATTTTCTATTGAGATACTGTCCTTTCTTGGCGTCCACGACTGTTCTCAATTTTCCATTGATGCATTAATCTACTTTTTTTATCGCCTGTAAAGTTGACTGAAGCACTGCGTTTCTTGCACACAAGCGAGCGTCTTACACACAACAACATTTGCCCAGAAGCTGTGTTACTAACCCACCGAGGACAATGGCGCCTGGCTTCAGTCGCTTTTCTGCAAGCCACCACCCGGGGCAATTCAATAGTATCTGGCGGTTCAGGCACCGAGATCTACTCTTCGACGGCTAGCGGGTCGCCACTCAGCCCATGTTTTGGGAGCAGCGGTCGCACAAATGCTTTCGGCTTCGAAAAGGTGACAACATCAAATGCCTCGTCCTCTTCAAATCCACTACTCTCCTCGTCGAATGCCGGAATCGGTACATCTGGCCTCAGCGCGGGTGCGTCTTTGTCGCCGATTTCTTCTGAATCAGGCGGTAGTGGCCAGTCGCTTGGGGTACGCACCTTCAGTTAATTCACTAACATTCTCCGTGTCATGTATAATAATTGCACATATTTTAGCAACTAAAAATGGTCTAGTTTATTGTTAACTCAGCATGTGTAGCTGATTCGGGAAACCTAAAATAAAGAAGTGTTTGGGCAATTTTGCAGGTTCACCCATTGAGAAAAAAAGAAAATTCTGACACGGACTAGTTGATGGATGACTAGAGAAAAATGCACATTTTTTATCAAATGTAGGCTGTATACTGCCTATTTCTTTTAGTAAAACTCTTTTGAAGCAAATGAACCCCAAAGTGGGGCCTTAAAGTTAAATCTCATCGAAAAACTAAATTGCAAAAATCTGGTCCTGCTCATGTTTTGAGGCAAGTATGACTATCTTAGCAGAATTGTGTCGAAACCGTCAATAGAGACTTTTATCCTGTTTCATTGGTTTCCACTTACTGGCTTATTAGGTCTACAAAAACTGGATAACAAAACTCAGCCAAACTTTGAATGATAAAGAAGACGCCAAAAATCCAAGCTCAATTGCATAGTAAAGTCTTCTTGAAATTCAAAGCAATTAATACATATTTTACACGAATTTATTTAATTAAACAATCAACCTAGTATCTATCAAGTTGGCAAAGCAAGGAAATTAGTTGATTTGTATCATTTTGAAATGAGGGAAAGTTTAGAAAAAATCTTTTGCTAATTTACTTTGGTGATTTTTAAGCCTAATTGTTCTAGCATTTGAAACAAACTCAATTATTAAGCACAAAAAGCTCTCTGGTTGTATAGTGAAATATAGCTCTTGTGAAATATTTAGCAAATAAGGAGGCATGGAATTATCATTCAACTTTTTATAGAGAGAAAATACTAAAAGGGCATACGTTGAAAGCACTCAATCTTCCTGGCGGCATTAGGCTAATGCTGTAATCACAACATTTGCAGTAGTCTCCATCACCGAAAAATTGAGTACATTTAGACTATTCAATGAAAATCCAAGATTTATGATTTCGCCCTGAATCAGCTTGAGATAAAAATATCCATTTAAGATTCACAGCCCTCTATAACGCTGATTTATTTGAGGGAAGTGAAGAGAAAATGTATTCACTACAACTTTATTTAGTTCCAAGCTCCATGAATTAGGAAAGCTACCTTAAGTAAATAGTCGATGTACTAGGGTTTTTCTCATTAGAGTTAGGATATCTTTCACTGTATATAAGGTAATATGAATGTGAAAATATTATATGAATAGGAAAATGGATAGC